ACAACGTTAATCACTCTTCAAAATCATTTTGAAATTACATATCTTTAATATCATCTGAACAATTTATTTGTATTTGTGAATTGAGATTGTGCTTTTATTATACTTTGAATGTTTATTCAAGTTTTGAACGGATTTAAATGGTATAATCTTTAGTTAATTTGTTAAGTTTTTTTTTTTAAATGAGTTAACTCAGGTTTAACCTATTTCTTTAATAGGTTGGGTTAAAAACTACATAAACGGGTCAACCCGGTGACAACTCATTTGTTGAAAATAAAATATCACCACGAATAAATGCTCGGATACCAGTTATTGTGTGACAGCTATATAAAATAAAAAAGATAAAAATGCGGACAATAAATATGAAATTATTAATCACTACAGGAAAGTTGTAATTGACTGAAAACTATAAATAAAATAGATAACCGTAAATAAATAACGTAAATCTATAACAATATATATATATATATATATATATATATATATATATATATATATATATATATATATATATATATATATATAAGGTTCGTTAAGTTATATGGTTGATTGAAACGACTTGTCTATCAAGTAAGTTCGTCAAATGATTGATTGAACATGCTTAGGGTTGGACTCTTACCTAATAGACTTTGTTTCTATTTGTTCAATATTCAGTCAGGTATTGATTTGTTGAGCGGTGCGGTTTTGAAAAACTTTGTTTTATGTGGTCTAGTAGAAAATTGGTTTAGCCCACTTTAAAATAACTAGCCCACTTGATTTTTGACCAAGTATTTCTTTGGCCTAGTCCAATATGAGATTAATCCAAATAACTTGACTTTAGTATTCTTGTTTTAGCAAACGTAAACACACAGAGAATTAATATCATTCTTATTTTCTCAATTTTCGGAACAAATCTCTCTGGATACACAATACTCTCTCACGTCTCTCTATGGTTTCCCTTGGTCAAAAACATCGTTGAAAATTCCTAGATGTAGGTAAGGTTCGGAGTAATTTTTTGGAACTGGCAAATATTATTAATAAAAGAAAAAACCCCTAGCAAGGTGCTATAGGGGTAATTACAAGGTTTTAGACAAGAGAATTACATACAGAGAAATGGGTTAGTACACCATTCAACCCAATTATAATTACAATTGACTCTCCTGTGTTTTATCCATGAATATACTATGGATATCACCATATCCGCCACTTTGGTGGGGGAGGTACGAATCTTCTTGAAGATCCAATCGCACCTTGTTTTCCAAATGAACCAAGCCGTTTCATAACATATTGTAATTAAGTTTTTCCGTTTAACTGGACATGTTCCCCACTGTGATAGAAATTTCTCAAGCTCCTCGACCGTCGCAAATTTTCTTTCACCAAGCCCGCACCACATGAATACCCATTCCCATACCTTGACAACTATTGGGCATCTTAGAATTACATGGTTGACATCTTCATCTTCCAATTCGCAGTAGGAACATATGGAAGTCACGGTTTGCACCCCTCGTTTAAGCAGGGCGGTGGCAGTTGGTATACGGTCCATAGATGCCCTCCACATAAAACAAGTTACCTTTAACAGGACTTCATGAATCCAATTGATTAGACCTTCCCCTGCTGGTGTCAATGTATTCCTCCCATCAATTTTTGATCTAAGTGCTTCTACATGAAATACCTTATCATTTGAAATGCTGCATATCCACTCATCTCTCCGAGAATTCAGTTGAAAGTTGCAGACCAAGTCGAGGAGTGTGTCAACCTCGCTTAGCTGCACCGTGAGGGTCGGGCTTGCTTTCCAATCCCAGCTGGTGTCTCCTTGTTTGATACGCTCACTGATTTTGCACCGCTTCTTTCGTTCCAACTTATATAATTCTGGGAAGGATTCCTTTAATGTTGCATCTCCAATCCATCTGTCTTGCCAGAACATGGTGTCATCTCCGTTACCAATTTTTTTTAGGATTATATCGTTTATATCAATTCCCAGATTTGCCAATTCTTCTTGAACCCCGGTGATGTTTTTCCATACTCCAGGTAAAGTTTTTTTAGACATGGTGGCAGCAGGTTTATTATGAAGGTTGTGGATCCCTTCTATGACTTTGGACCATAAACTTGCTTTTTCGAATCTCAGCCTCCACCACCACTTTACAATTAGGGACAGGTTAAAAGCTTTAAGCGAGCCTAATCCCAGCCCGCCATTCTTCTTGGGAGCGGTCACTTTGTCCCATGCTACCCAGTTGATATGTTTTTTCTCATCTGCTCCCCCCCATATGAATCTTCGCCTTATCTTCTCCAAAGTCTTGATAACACCTGCAGGAGCAACAAACAAGGAAAAATAAAAAGTTGGAATGCTGCCAAGGACAGTTTTCGCTAGTGTTAGCCGACCCCCAAGTGATAAGGATCTCGATTTCCATGTAGACAGTCTAGCTTGTAATTTTTCGATTACCGGTTTCCAATTCTTTAATAGTTTCATATTTTCCCCTATAGGAACTCCAAGGTAAGTAAATGGAAGCTTGGCTGGCTCACATCCAAGGGGTTTTGCAAGGATTTCAACTTCGCGATGGTCAACCCCGATGCCAAACACTCTCGATTTGGAGAAGTTCACTTGAAGCCCAGAAGACACATGGAAGCACCGGAGGATTCTAGCCAGGTTCTTGATGTTTTCCTCACTCCATTCCCCCACAAAGAGTGCATCGTCTGCGTAGAACAGATGCGACACACATAGGGCACTATTTGGGATGTTTTTTCCATTGAAAATTCCTTTTCCTGTGGCCTCTTTCATCGCGATGTTAAGCCCTTCCATGGCTATTATGAATAAGAATGGTGAGAGAGGATCACCTTGTCTTATTCCACGGCCAAATTCGAATTCATCGGTAGGTGAACCATTGACTAGAATCGACGCACGTGAGGATCTTAAGCAACCTTGAATCCACCCTCTCCATCTTTGTCCAAATCCCATTTGCATTTGAACATGATCAAGATATTCCCAATTTACAGTGTCAAAGGCTTTGTTGAAATTAGCTTTGAAGAGAAGCATTTTTTCATTTACCTTCTTAGCCCAGGAACACATTTCGCTTATTATTAGGGGGCCGTCTAGGATATTCCTTCCCGCCACAAATGCCGATTGTTCTTCTCCGATACATAAACCAATGATCCTTGCCAGTCTAGCAGAGAGAGATTTTGCAATGATTTTATATAAGCTGCCAATGAGGCTAATTGGTCTGTAGTCGCCGATTTTTAAAGGGTCCTTTATCTTAGGGATGAGGGTGAGAAATGAGGCATTGCATCCTCTGCTAATTACACCGAAACGTTCAAAATATTTGACTGCTTTCACAATGTCATCTTTTAAGATGTCCCAATACCTTTTAATGAACTTGAACGTATATCCATCCGGCCCTGGAGCTTTTTCATTCCCACAAGCCCATATTGCCTCTTTTATCTCTTCTATCGTGAATGGACTTTCAAGACTATCTCGTGTGGTTGGATCAATAGAAGAAAATTTACTGCTGCTGAACTTGGGTCTAGAGGCTCATCTTTCTTGGAACTTTTCCTGGTAAAAACTAAAAATCCCTGATTTTATTGCTTCAGGCTCAGTAACCCATACTCCATCAATTAATAAACCTGAAATTTTGCTTTTCCTCCTCTTGTTGTTTACGTATCCGTGAAAGAAGGGCAGGATTTCAAGGTTCGGAGTAATTTGTGGTGAAAATCTCACTCGTGGTCTTTTGGTTGTACTCCACCCACTTTTCCTCTTTTTCTGACTTGCAGTTTCTAATCTCGAAAACAACAAGGTAGTGATGGTTGAGATGATTTAAAAGGGTTTTTGGAGGAGGTTTAAGGAGGGTATATGGAGGGTGTTTGGAGAGTATTTGGAGGTTGTTTATAGGGTGGAATAAGGTGGTTAAAATGGAGATATAAGGTGGTAAAGGTTTATGAAGAAGATGATGAATAGTAATGGGTCTTGTATGAATTCTTTATGCATGAGGGTTTTGGATGGTTTGATGTTTGTGGTTTACTTGGGTTTATGTAAGAGAGGGTGTTTGGTAGTGATTGGTGGTGTAAGGTGATGAGTTCAGGAAGGTGCTGAAGGTTGGAAGTGTATATGGCTTTGAAGATCTTTTTGGTGTTCTTGGTGTTCTTACTTTAGGGATGAAGATTGGAGTTTGTTGTTGTTGTTGGTTGTCTTTTGTTGTTGAAGAAGATGTTGAAGTTGCAGTGGGTTTTGTTGTGTTTTTTCTTTTAAGGAGATGGTGTTGTGTTTTGCTTTCCTTGAAATGTTGCAAGAGGTTTTATGAGAAGCAAAAAATAAACACACACCCTTTCACATTACATACACACATATATATATATATATATATATATATATATATATATATATATATATATATATATATATATATATATATATATATATATATATATATATATATATATGAAGAAAAAATATCTAAGGCACTTGAGTGATGAAAGTTTGTGAATGAAGGATTTGTTCACGTTGACTATCAAGTAGTAGATATGTGTTTGAGAAGCAAGATAGGTATGTGCTTGTTTTTCTTTGAAGATGAGAATATATCTCATAAATTCAATTAAGATAACTGAATTTCCATAATAGTCCCTTGAATTTTTAAAGTCTTGGTAATTTTTATCCTTTGATTTGTTTTGTCTTCAAACGACCAAATATACGGCTATTTTTCCATGTTTGAATATTCCGTCTTTCGTGTATTTTTGTATTTCACATTTAAGCACGAATCTACGCAACCTGAAATAACTTATAATATTTATTAGATGACATAAAAACAGTTCGTCTTATTTCAGATCATATATAAAAACATTTTTTAACATTATTTATCTAAAAGATTGGGTTAGGTTGAAAATATCTATCAATTTAAATAAAAAGATTGGGTTGTGTTGAAATCTTCAACCCAATTATTAAATGGGTTGAACCCAAATCCAACCCAGGTCGTCCCATTGTCAGCTCTAAATCAAAGTAGGACCCAATAATGTTCACCTACCGCTTGTAACATCTTTGCATGGAATGGTATGCATACGTGTTGCATTGGGAGAACGATGGTGAAAACATAAATCTAATTTTATGGAATCCTTGGACGCGTGGGTATAAGATTTTGGCTAAAGCCAGTAGTACTCATGATATAGAATGTTACAACGGCAATGGAGGTCTATTTGGTTTGTATTATAGCTCTTCTAACGAAGACTACAAGATTCTACATGTAACCAATCATTCCAATACTTATATATACTCGTTGAAATCTGACTCTTGGAGAAAGATCCAGTTGTGGAGGATGGAAGGAGATGGAGATTGGAACAAAGTTGATGAGGAATGGAAAATGGTTTGTGCATTCCAGTTGTTTTAATCGTATTTACCAAGTAGATATGAAGAAGGATACGAAAAATAGGTTTTGTTCACTTAAAAACATGGAGATCCTTCAAGGAGGGAGTTACATGGAGACTATTGTGTCACCAAATCAATATATGAAGTAACACCACCATCAGTCCCTTTTAATCATTATATGAACTTAAATTTTACATTTTTTGTCCACCAGAGATCAACCATACGAAATTTGAATGTTCTCCATGTTATCGTGTGGTAGCTTAATTAGATGAGCCATTTGACTCTTTATTTTTTGGATTGAAAATGGATTTAAATTATGTACGTAGTCTAATATGCAACCCGACCCAACAGCAGAAACTTTGATCCATTAATATTGTTCCTTAGGCCCAAATCAAAATCTAATCGTGACAAAATACAAAAAACAAATTTTTACTAATAATATTCCACCGGAGTACCAGGACAACCGTCATCCACCACCTCCTGGTAGTCAAACGGCGGTGGAACAAACGGTGGTGTTGTACATCTCAATAAAGCCCAATTAACCCCACTGAAAAACTGGTGGTGCTTCACCACCGATGCCCCCATTGTTGACCCCATCCGACAACCAGGATCCTTGACCAACAATTGACTTATTAAATCCCTAGCGGTGGCCGGAATCACCGGCTGTTTTGGGAACTCCAAAGCCCTAGCTACAATATTAGCTAGGGTTAGCTCATTATCCACCCCCCTAAACGGCGTCACACCATAAAATAATTCAAATATAAATATTCCCAAAGTCCACCAATCAACAGCACTTCCATGGCCTTCACCGGAGACAATTTCCGGCGCCAGATATTCATGTGTCCCAACAAACGACATTGACCGGACATCCACCGGCTCCGCCACAAACTCCGGCCCGTGGTGGCTCGCCGGTTTCTTCTTCCGTTTACGCTTAGGGGTGAAGCAAGAGACCGCCGGGACAATGCAGTTGGGGAGAATGCAGGAGGAGGCGGTGAATTTGGGCGGGTTGAGTGGGCGGTGGTCGGTGGTTGATGGCGGGTTTAGGTGGTGGTGGTCGGAGAAAACTTGGGCGGGGGTTGATGTGGAGAGGTCGCATTTTAAAGAGAGGTCGAAATCCGTAAGCATGATGTGACCGTCGGATCGGACTAAAACGTTTTCCGGTTTAAGATCGCGGTAAACTATTCCCAACATGTGAAGGTACTCGAGAGCTACAATCACCTCTGACACATAAAACCTGTTCAAAGATGAGACAGATAAATCACAATGTCGGTACAGATAAATCATGAATCACAATGTCACAAGTATTTATGGATTCTTTGTTGCTTACCACAACATATATTTATGTTATAATTGTCAAATGCTACGACAACATATATTTAAGTTGATAATTGTCCAAAGAGATCATGAGGTGTGTCACCAAATGGTTATATAAAGTGTAGCTTTGGTAGGGGACCAAAGTGATGGCAGTTAGTAGTATATAGAAATAGAGGTCTTTTGTTTTTTTGTCATTATAAGGACAACTTTTCCCTATTTGGGATTTTCCTTTCTATCATTTCCCAAAAATCATCAATTATTTCATACACCATTTTGGCAATTGTTCCCCACATGCCTTTACCTAATATCATCGCTTCATTACCTACAATAATTGTTTATATCTTATAATATAAGCTTAAAATATAACATACAAAATATCTGATTGGAAGAGCATCCACAAGTTTTGGAAATGGCTTTTTCTTTCCAATAGTTTGTTCTTTGTTTATATTTTTATTTCACATTCTCTGTTACTTTTACTTGTATATATATTTTTTCATTTTCATAAAACATATTGAGAATTTAACACAGTTGAAAAAAATTATTAACCAGATATACTATTAGCAGTATAATGTTTAAGGATTAAAACTTAACAAAATAACCCATTTTGTGAAGTTTATAAAACCCTCATATGTTATGTCATTTTTATGACTTATGATCTTTTTAAAACCTTTATAGTTTGTGCATTATTCTTTTGTTTTTTTATCAATTAACGATCTTAAAAGACAAAAGGTGATTGGGCTTGACTTCACTATCTCATTTAACTTCATACTTTCGTTGAAGTGGCATTTTGTGGACGTCCGATATCTAAGGACCCACGTGGCATTAAATGAGGGTTCACGATGTTTGACCTTCGATGGATCTCACGTGTACTCGACAACTGAGTATCTTCGTCTTCCTAATCAGGTGCACACAAGCCTACGAGACAATAACATGCAGCCTCGAAGGCCTACTTTGTGGGACCTAGTTGTTTGGTTATCCAAGAAATTGATTACTATGTCCGAAAACAATAATACAATGGAATATAATCTTTTTACCCTAATGTTTTCGTACAGTTGTATTTAAATCATATAATTAAATGTAACGTCTGACAATATCCAAACGGTAAATGTTAAAAGCAAAAAGCAAGAGTTTATTTATTTGTAATTTAATTTTTTTAACTTTTGTTTTGTTCTTTTTCTTATATTTTAAAATTTTGTTATGAATTTTTTATAAATAAAATTATTTTTCTACAACCTTTTTCTTAATTCTTTTTCCAACCTTTTTAAAAGAATTTTTTTGCAATATTTTTTTTTTCCAATTTTTGTATTTTCAAATATGCATTAGCAAACCAACTTTTCTAACTCATTTAACCATTCTTGGATTTGATGAAATAACAAATATTATTTAAAATCATAAAAATAATAATACAACAATTTTGTTTTAAACTTAATTTTTTTGTTTGGCCTTGTTTTTTACAGAAATAAATACTTTTTTATTTCAAATTAATGTAGCTTGATGATGACATTAAAATACCTCAATTTTTTAGCTTATACATCAATGCATATAATGTTTGATAAACACAAAACACCAAATTTTGAAATCCAAGTCAAAGTAAATGTTGTGGGTCCTAGCAAGCACATGCCACATCAGTGGGCCAATGAGTGAGCCGGAGCAGAAATTATGTGATGTAATGTGTAGCAGGGGATCATTACTGATCAAAGTATATGAAAAGACATGCATAGTAACTAAGAGAATGCTAAAATGCGCACCTGACGGCGGATTCCGGGAAGCGTTTGCATGGTTGACGTTGCCGGAGAACGTGAAGGTCTCCGCCGGGACAGAAATCGGTCAACAAACACGACCATTTCGGCGAATCCAACGCCGCGTAAAGCGTCGGTAAAAATGGATGATCCAAAATCTCTAGAATCTCCCTTTCTGTCTTCGATCTTCCTTCCTTGTTACGGCTTGCAAGCTCCCTCTTATCCATGACCTTAGCGGCGAAAATGGCGGAGGAGGGCGGAGAAGGAGAACATTTGAGTTTTGCGAGGTATACGGAGCCGATGTCACCGGCTCCTAGACGGTGGAGGAAGCGGATGTCAGCGAGAGTAAGTTTTCCGTCTGATTCAGGTCCAGATTGACGAACGGCGTCCCAGCAAGAATCACCGGAAGGCGCATGTGGTTTTGTGGCGGTGTTACAGAGGAGGTGGAGGTTGTGGCGAGCAGAGGAGGTAGCGGTGGTCCAAGTTGTTTCGGATCCGGAGCTTGTGCTGCGGTTAATGTCGGTGGCTGTGGTAGTGGTGGTTGAGTTGAAGCTGATGCTCCGGAGGTCATCGGCGAGATCGTCTACAGATGGTGGTTCCATTATCGAAGCGAAGGGGTGAGCACAAAAAACGTGTATGTGGGAGAAGAGGAATCGCCTTTTTGAAGGGGATGAAATGGCCAAATGGGTTTATTATTAATGAGGCCAGTTTGGTGTCATCGTGGGCTTTTAAGTTTTTTACAAATAAAGCAGTGTGAACTTGGGATAAACACATAGAGCCACAGATAAAAAGTTTATAAATGACATTATATTCTTTGAAGGGATAATTTATATTTTTTTTGATTTTCATACATTTGATCATTGAGTTTCTTTTGTTAGCATTTGTCATTTAACTAGTTTAACTGTATACATTAAGTTATTATAACCGACTATCCAGGTCAAACGGAAAAAAATAACTCAATATGATAATATATATTTCATTTTGTTCACATTTAGTCTTTAATATTTTTTACACATTCATTCTTTAATATTTTTT